TTCCTTTGTTAGAGTTTCAAGGAGAATTACTTGAAATAATCCTTTGTACAATGTGCCTGGTTCTATTTTAGTTTTAAATCGTGTCCCCTTTTCTTTTTGAATTTGTTAAAAAAAAAAAAAGACATCTAATCAATGCCCAAGTGGAAGTGCTACGGCCAAGTCCGAGTGTCTTTCTCTCCAGGATGAAGTTACCTTTTGTGTTGAGGCCCTTTTAAAAGAAACTTAAAAGACTGCAGGAGCGGAGAAAGAATAATAATAAAAAAGTCTTGAATGTTATAATTAAACTGTACAGACTTAACCATCTCTCTTGAGAATTACTGAAGATGAGCCTACTTTTTGACCAGCTCCATGGATGGAGGCTCACGATGACCCAGATTTGAGGGAATGTGGGTATTTCTCAGATAAATGCCTACAAGAATTCTGATCATCCATGGGGGTGGGGTGCGCACAGCCTTTCCGATGGCCAGGTCTGGTCAACTGCTTACCCACTGAACACGGGGATAAAAAGAAATAGGAAGGGGAAGGCAAAGAACCTGATAGCCTGTGTGCCACGTGGACATTTCCATATCTAGGCTTGGCAGTGCATCAAAGCACAAGAATTAAGGGAGAAGGAAGTCAGAGAGATGGTAATTTAGTAAATAAGGCGAAGTTTAAGTGTACACATGGGATTCTGTCTGGGAGACAAAGGTAAGTGCCTTTGGGTGTGCTCACTGGTAGACACCCTGCCCCTTTCTAGGGTATTATTAAAACAATTTTATTCATCACAAAATAATCCATCATAGAAGGTATCCAGTGCTTTTCTGACTTCAATATTTTCTTATCCCATTCGAGTTTTTCCTTTCTCTTTCCTAAGGTGGGCGAGGCGGTGGGGTAAGGGGCAAGTGTAATTCTCCAAGCCTTTCTGACATTTCCCAAATGCATGCCACCCAGTGACTCAATCTAAAATCAAAATGCAAAATGAATTAATAGTTAACATGGATGCAATAATTCAGTTCACTGCTCAGGCACTGTATTTTTTGTATTTCAAAAATGTGTTGCTTTTTTTCTTCCTCTAGAGACAGAGTTTCTTTTTGATCCTTAAATAGTAACAGAAGGTTAAACCACAGAGTGCTTTTTTTTTTTTTTTTTTTTTAATTTAAGAATGAAAACTCTTCTAATAATCTGGGGTAGCTGGTTGCAAGGACAATTCATAAAAATTAAGATGGCAATTTTGTTTACCCTTTTTCTTGTTTAGGAGATTTTAAAATTTTCTTAGAGCTTTTTTTTCTCCTTTTGCTAAATTTTAGGGGAGAATGGTAGATTCCATGGCTGCATTTTAAAACAAAACGCTTAGTTAAAAATAATATCCAATTTGGCCTTAACCGGAGCATGGCAGAAATAACAAGAAGCAGTTAATGTGGTATGAACTAAATGCTTATGTCAAGTCGCCAGCACATTATCTCAGTGTCTTTAACCAGGAGGACCTCACTTGCAGAAATGGCTCTTGACAAAGTTAAGTGGCCCCATACATTGTTTGGGAAATTGCCCTTATTTTGTGTGCTTCTTGTTCCAGTAATGGAACCCATGAGCGGTAGATAATTGTAGCAGCCTCATCTATCAAATAATATTAGAAGTCAACAGCTATAATCTGAGCCACTTGCTTTACACAGCTTTTCTCTGTATTTTCTGCTCAAATTGTCAGTTGTTACCTGTAAGTGTCCCTATTCCCTGTGGTTGATAGAAGCAGAAAGATTTAAGTAAATCAGGAGGTGAGCAGTGTGCGGGCTTGGGCACAGGCTCCAAAACCAGTACACCCCAGCAGATGATAACAGCCCCTGAATAGGGAGAAATCATGGTTCTTTGTGCTGCGTTGTATGTTACTATTACTGGTGCAGAGGCTGGGTAAAAGGGTGTTTTTTCTTTTTTCTTTTTCCCAGATAGTCTGGGCAGTTAAAAACTGAGTTTAAGAGGTTCAGGGATAAACCTCTCATTATTGGAGGGTAAATACATGTGGTATTTCAGTATTCTGACCTACTTTTGTTCATCTCTCCGTACCCCTGTGCGGAAAGCAATGTTGCCCCCAAACAAAACCATGCAAGCTTGGTGCTTAGGTGTTTGCTACATTCTGTGAACTTATTTGTAGACATAAAATATTTCATGATGAAAAGGGAAATGTTTGCCTTTCTGGAATAGTTATTATCTTCAGGTTGCTTTCTCTCATCAAAGAAAAATCAGAAAAATGCCCCAAAGCAATAAAGTAAAAATATAAGTGCACTTTACCAATAATAGACAGTGTTTATGCATTTAAGCATAATGTATCCCAAATATATAGTATATATAAAATTGATATACTCATATATCTGTTTATATATGTTATCAGATCATATTGTACCTACTGTGTAATATCCTGTTTTTTCCCATTTAATAAATAACTGACATATTTCTATGTTCATAAATATTCATTTATTATACCATATGAGTATCTGATGTTTGCATTATATTCCATTCCTTAGATTCCCTATTAATGGACATTTAGAGTACTTTATGATTTTTACTATGTAAACACTGCTGCAATGAATATCGTCATAGTTAAACACCTATGATATGAGCAAAATTAATAGAAGGATTAATTAATGGTTTAAAAGGTTTATAGAAGAGTACAAACCAATTTCCGCTCTTAAAAGCAGTGTATTGAACTTGCTCCATGGGCTGGGCTGCCTCTCCCCAGCTTTGGACATCAATGGTTCTGCTTTTGCACGTAATTTTATTTAGGAGAGGGATACAAGATTATTCAGCAGTCCCCACTCTTACCCCTCCCACACCCTCTGTTCTAACCACCAATTTAAAGATTCAACCCAAGTGATCACACCACTGGTTCTGTTTTCTGTTTGGTGGCATTTAAGTGACCACGTCTGTTTGCCCAAACTGACTATTGTATTTCCCAATCACAAAGTGTTCTGGGGACAGGTTTGCCCTCTTGTACAAAGGGTGCTCAGAAAACAGAGATGGAAACTCAGGGTCTTTACACGACTTTTTCTCTAGTGGACTTAGGGACAATGATTTATTCCCAAGGACTGATCCTCCTGTGGCTTCTTGTGTTGAGCTGCACCAGGAAAAGCAGGTCAGGTGAAAAAGCCGCTGATGGCTCTTTGTGGAGCTCAACGGAAAGACGCTTGCTTCTGCGGCAGTTTCCATAGTGGGGACTCGGGCCCAGCAGCAGCTGTGCTTTTAAGCTCTGGTTGCTGCAGATTCATCCTGGCTAATGGAAAGGCTGTGTGTGTTTCCATTATGAGTAATGGCTCAGGGCCAGCGCCGCGGCCACTTTTCCAGCCAAAGCCAATATAAGGGTAGAAGTCCATGCATATGAGGACTCCTAGAAAAGTTCATGGAAAATGTGTATTTTGAAAACACTATGCATGGATTTCAAAATGTGTTTGCAACAAAATAAAATGATCTTTTAATTCCATTTTCCATGCATTTTTGAGGTACCCTTGTGTTTCAGTCTGGATGTCCTGAGACGTAACTACTTGTACTCTTGACATAATGATCATTTTTCATATATGGCATTTCAACAAAATGTTTACATAGCTCAACAATTTGATAAGACACTTAGTAATGAAAAAAGATAAGTGATAATTTAAGCAGTTCTGTGGCAAAAATTATCAATTACTGCTAGAGATGGTGCCATGTGATTTCTTCTAATGCAAGTTGCCTGCAAAAAAAAAAAATCAGTAGAAATTTCGAATTTCAGAGGCATGTTTGAAATTGCAATAGTAATGGAAATGGAATGCAAAATTGTAGATGGCTGACATTGACCTTGGAAGGATCCTTGGACACTTTAAATCATTTCCAAGTTAAATGAAACATCTGAGATAAGATGTTATGAACACTCCTTTACCTGGATAATATACAATGTAACCTAAAATGGAGGGCTTAACTGCTTGGAGCGTTACTGTCAGTGCCTCAGTGTCCAGGGTGCATTTCTGGAGAACAGATTGACCATTTGCATATTTGTTTTAGATTTGTATTGTAATTTTCATAATAAATAGAGATGAGTAAGGATTGACATTGTTTTGAAATGCTTGTGCTAGTTTACTAGTTCCTTAGAAATCTGGCATAAGGACAAACAAATTCATACAAATTCCGAGGAAAAGGATAGTTTATTGTGGACTTTAACACAAGCAGACCTCCAACCTATGTTATTAAATTGTCACAATACTGCAAGATACTTATAATTAATCTCATTTTATAGATGAATAAGCAGAGACCCAGAGAGGTTGAATGATAAAGCTAACACGTGGTAGAGGTGTAAATTGAACACAAGTCGATGTGATCCCCAAGCCACGTGATCAACTGTTGTGCCACGTGGACTGCTCCGTTAGGACTCTTCTCATATTCCTGAGACAGAAAGTTTTATGACCCATAATGGTTAAAAAATGCCTGTGTTGATTACAAAATGGTAACATTTAACTCCATTCACTCTCATTCCTCTGAGGAAAAAAAAATCTGTGCATGTGCAGCCGACTGCGTTGCCCTTTGTGCATCTGTTTGTGTGTGAAGGTTGGTAGCAATGTATTGACTTTCTTTATTATCTAAGTCTTGTGCACCTAATGATAGTTATTAGTGTGCTGAGTGTCCTTGTTTACAATTTTTGCATTAAGAATATACCCCAACAACTCATCTAAACTGCTTTTAGCTGGTAAAATGCTTTTGGTGACTAAGCTAAAGCCATATATGTTCATTTATGTGACTGCTGTTCTTGCGATTACTATTGGAGTGACAGTTTCTCTGGGCATTTGAATGATGCAACTTGTTCAAGTTTAACGCCATCTATTATGAACTCTGCTGCATGCTGTTAATAGCTGGAAGGCATTGATTTTGCTTTCTGCTCTCTTATCTCAAGCCCATACATTTTGCTCGCATTATTGACTGTTCTGATCATTTCATGCGCCATCTCTTTAGAAGATGTATAAATCAATGTCAGCCATGAAACTTAAGTTGTTTATTCGTCTGCCATATAGGTTTACACCTTCATGAAAATCATCTAATGTGGTCGGTGTCAGATGTTTCAAACAATTGTTGACCAGGTCTGATGAAAGAGGACAGCCTTGGAAGCATGTTGCCACTGGAGTAGGAAAGTTCATTCAATTATTTATTTGGGTCACATGTTATACTTGACTGGATGCACTTTTTAATGATGTTAATTAACTTCTTCAGGGTGTTAAATTAGTTTAGAACTGCTATGATTATAGCATGACATAAATTGGACTCTCTATTCTAAGAAATGCATTTGAGTTTTGCACACCAAAAGAATATTTTGTACTGAATCAGTGCAAGTGAAACTGCACTGCTTACATCGGGTTTACTTGATAGAAGCCCATGCAGACTTCAGATCGATTTCACACCTAAGTCACAGAGTCAGGAAACAAGCGCAGGGGCCTGAGAGCCTGTCCATCATTTTATACAATTATCAAATTCTTTATCTAGTACCGAAAGAGCATCAAATTGCACCTCTAATCCGATAAAAAGTGTTTATATAATGAAGGCAATTACAAAATGCCCTGCAAAATCCATTCTTAAGGTTCCACTTTCAAACGCTTCCCGTACATGAAGCAAAGTTTGGATTAATTTAGATTTATGTTCTTCTGTAATTTTAATAATGTTTCTGATTCATGTCTCTTGCTTAGGATTTTTCAGGGCATTTTCCAAAAATAGATGCGTGCTTTCCTTTTGGTACAAGAAGTGATGGGTCTTTCATGGCTGCATTACTCATGCCCAAGTTCTGGAGCCTCTGTGGGCCCAGAGGTATCACATGGCTGGTTCTCTCTCGCGTGTGATAAGAACTGGGTCTGCAAAGCCTCTCTTGGGGCCAGAATTGTAGCGTAATGGGTAAAGCCTCTGCCTGTGATGCCAGCATCATCATGTCCTGACTGCTCCACTTCCAATCCAGCTCCCTGCTTATGTGCCTGGGAGAGCAGTGGAAGATGGCCCCTGCAACCCATGTGGAAAACCCAGTTGAAGCTCCTGGCTCCTGGCTTTGGCCTGGCCCAGTTCTGGCCATCGTGGCCATTGGGGTAATGACCCAGCCGACGCAGATCTCTCTCTCTCTCCCCCCACCTCTCTCTGTAACTCTGCCTTTCAAATATATATATATATTTAAATCAAAAGCCTCTGTTAGCACCTCAAACCAGTTAGAATCTGAAAAAATGCTAATTAAGAATGATATGCAGAAGGGAAAATTGTAATCATATTACCTTTAAGAATTTATTGCTTGGATATACTAAAGTACTTCAAAAGGTTCATAGAAAGTAGAATTAAAAAATAAGGTCTTGGCCGGCGCCGCGGCTCACTAGGCTAATCCTCCGCCTTGCGGCGCTGGCACACCGGGTCAGGGCGCCGGATTCTGTCCTGGTTGCCTCCTTCCAGGCCAGCTCTCTGCTGTGGCCCGGGAGTGCAGTGGAGGATGGCCCAAGTGCTTGGGCCCTGCACCCCATGGGAGACCAGGAGAAGCACCTGGCTCCTGCCATCGGATCAGCGCGGTGCGCCGGCCGCAGAGCACTGGCTGTGGCGGCCATTGGAGGGTGAACCAACGGCAAAGGAAGACCTTTCTGTCTGTCTCTCTCTCTAACTGTCCACTCTGCCTGTCAAAAAAATTTAAAAAAAAAGTCTTTTTTTAGACAAAAAATTGAAATCCATGTTTTTTTCCATAATATACACTTTTCATGAGCTTTTTGAAGACCCATTATGCATGAATTTCAAAAAATTTTGCGCCAAAATAAACATCCCTTTAATTCTGTTATCTATGAGTGTTTTGAAGCATCTTTGTATTTTGATTCAACACAACCAAATGTAAATTCAAAATCATTTATATGAGAGATGCGCTGTAAAGGGCTGACCTGTGCTTTGTCCTTCCAGAAGGCTTCATCCTGAGCCTCAGAATGTGGCTCATGGCGTGAGGATCTCTTCAGAAGTCAGGATTTCAAGATTAAAGTCCTGCTGGGTTAGCATGTGTCCTCTCCAAGGATAAATCCTAAGGAGGTAGTGTAAGGAGGGTAAGGGTGGGAACGGAGTGGGGAAGGGAAGAGGAGGAGGAAAGAGGAGAGGAAGGCCAGGGGAGGCCAGAGCAGCGTGGAGCGGTGCAGCCCCACGCCGAGCCCACAGGAGTTGCCGGTCCTGCCAGAGCTGGAAGGGAAGCCTGGCGTGGATGCCTCGGAGTCTCCAGAGGGCAGCGACCCTCTGACACCTCGATTATGGAATTCTGGCCTCCATAACTGTGAGAGAATAAGTGTCTGTTGCTTTAAGTCAGCAAGGTTGTGGTCATTTCTTGTGGTGACCGTAGGACACTAAAGCTCCGGCCAGGCACAGATGCCCAATTGGCTGGCCTTCTTAATTTGGACACTGCTCACTGTCCCCTCCTGGAAGGGCCTGTGTTCCCACGTCTGCGTGCTGATGAGGTTCTCCCAAGCTTCCAGGGACATTCCATGACCATCTCCTCTGGTGCCTCAGCCTTGCTCTTCCATCCATAGCATGGGTCTCAGTCCATTTGGGCTGCTGTAACAAAAAGGCTTCAGGCTGAGTCAGTTGTAAGCAGCAGAGATTTATTTATCACAGTTCTGCAGGCTGAGAAGTCCAAGACCCAAATGGTGGCAGATCTGGTGTCTGGTGAGCACCTCTCTCTGCCTCCAGCATGGCACCATCTGGTCGTGTCTGCCCAGTAAGTAATGAGCTCTCTCCCTCAGGAGCCTTTGTAAGGGTACGAGTCTCACCAGTGAAGACGGAGCCCTCATGGCCTCGTTACCCCCACAGAGGCCCCCCTCGTGATACCATAGCAGCCTCTTGTATCAGTCTCCTGCACTATACTGCTCTTATCTGCCTTGCATTAGGCTTCCAGTGTTTCTTTCCTGTGTCAGAATGTAGATGCCACCATGTTTGGCATCTACACCTTGTTCAGCTTTACGTCTGCTAGAATGCTCAGCACAGACCTTCATCTATAGTCAGGTTTCAAAATGTGTTGAATCTAATTGCGTGGCACCCTTTGCTATGTGTAAAATTCTGTTTCACAATTTGGTATCAGATTGTGTATGCAGTAGAAAAATGAAGCCATGGGAGAAGTAATTTCAACAAAGCCAAAATCCGATAATTCTGAAAGCAAGTGTTATGAGAGTTGCCTATATTTCAATATGTTTTTGAATGAAAATACGTTGTTCAATGGATAACTCCAAGTCCAAATACTTTCCTGGGGAATACAACACTGAATCAGACTTAAAGTTGGGGATCCTTAATTCACTACCAATTGGTAGGTATTTGAATTCTATTTTTAGGGGTATTTGTTACTCAAATATTCCTCTAAAATATATATATATATATATATTTTTTTTTTTGACAGGCAGAGTGGACAGTGAGAGAGAGACAGAGAGAAAGGTCTTCCTTTGCCATTGGTTTACCCTCCAATGGCCGCTGCGGCCGGCGTGCTGCAGCCAGCGCACCGCGCTGATCCGAAGGTAGGAGCCAGGTGCTTCTCCTGGTCTCCCAAGGGGTGCAGGGCCCAAGTACTTGGGCCATCCTCCACTGCACTCCCGGGCAACAGCAGAGAGCTGGCCTGGAAGAGGGGCAACCGGGACAGAATCTGGCGCCCCGACCAGGACTAGAACCCGCTGTGCCGGCACCGCAAGGTGGAGGATTAGCCTATTGAGCCACGGTGCCGGCCTTCCTCTAAAATATATTATACTTTCTTTTTTTAAAATTTTTTAGACAGGCAGAGTTAGACAGTGAGAGAGAGAGAGACAGAGAGAAAGGTCTTCCTTCTGTTGGTTCAGCCCCCAAATGGCTGCTACAGCTGGCGCAGTTGATCCGAAGCCAGGAGCCAGGTGCTTCCTCCTGGTCTCCCATGTGGGTGCAGGGCGCAAGCACTTGAGCCATCCTCCACTGCACTCCTGGGCCACAGCAGAGAGCTGGCCTGGAAGAGGAGCAACCGGGACAGAATCCGGCGCCTCAACCAGGACTAGAACCCAGGGTACCGGTGCCGCAGGAGGAGGATTAGCCTAGTGAGCCGTGGCGCTGGCCACATTCAGTTGACTTTTGATCATTTTGTTTAGCTATTGAAATAGAATAATTTGTTTGAAAGTTGTTTTAGAACTACCATGTACAACATACTCTAATGATGGTACTTGAAAAGCAGTCTTCAACTCTGGACTGTGAAACGCAAAGAACAACTCGGCCACATTTCACCCTGATTCTGAGTGTCTTCTGTGCCCCATCACTTTCTGGGCTTTAGCTGTTGATGATGTTTCCACGCTGAGGTGGTCTTGTTGTTCCCCTTTCCTCGGTGCTGGACTTCTATGTGATGTTTGGTGGGGAGCAGTGTAGTGGCAGAAGCAGCAAGGTCTTTGACTTGAAAGGAATTTGGATGTAAATTTTGGGCAATACTTTCTTGGTCAGTCACCAAATGATTGAGCCCAGCTAAGCCACAGTTTTATCATCTGTAAACACTACTGATCAGCTTTACATCATAGCCCTGTCATCTGGGTAAAACTGCTGAGTAACATCTGTAAAGTTCTTAGCCTAGGCCTTGACAGATACATGGTGCTAAAGTGATAGGCATGATTTCTGTTGTAGATAATCAAGCATGTGAAACCATGTGACTTTAATTCATTCAACAAGCATCTATTGTTCTAGGCCCTCAGAATATACCAGAGGTTAATTCTGGTGTCTATGTTTTCAAGGAGAAGCCAGGAGTGTAAATAAGGAATTCAAGGCTGGGAGTGGCCCCAGATATATTCTGAGCCATGTGATGAGCATACATGATCATCCAGGCCATCAAATTCACCTTGACCATTATAGTTAAATATGGCAGATGCCCACATGTAGTTATATCCATTCCCTCTCTCCTCCAAAATCCAGGGAAAATGGTAGCAAAAGATTAGAAATAGTTAAACCCACAAGTACAAGTAGATGAGTGGAGATAATAGCAAATAAGCAGATGTATATTTCCACAAACCTGGCATGGCAAAACCGAAGGGCCTTCTTAGAGGAGATTGTGAGAGGTGAGCCAGCTCACACCTCTCTACGGTTCGTCCACTGTACAGCTGTAGGAACTGGACAGCATGAGGACTCTGAGGAGTTCAGTGGCTGTGGGAGGCAGTGAGTGATGTGGCACCAGACTGAAAACAGGTGATTTGCCGAAAGTCTGTATATGCAGTGGTTACTCATTCCATCTCATGCATATAGTTGACTACTCTCAAAGGAGAGTATCTAATTAGTTTTGGTTTTGTTTTGTCTTGATACATGGAACTAGAAAGAGTTAGGGTTTACCAACAAATATGCACAGCAAACGTCAGGGGTACAGTGAAGGTTGGCTACTGACCCCCAGTCTCTTTCCCCAGCTCTGCACCCCAAATACTGAAAGTCAAGCATTTTATCCTACCTCCTGCCATCCCCCTCTGCAATGACATGTATCTGACAAGAGCGGAAGACTGGTAGATTCTTCTCTGCAGAAATAACATGGTCCTAGAGAAAAGGACTTTACATTTGGACTCTTAAGTTCTTCTAATGAAAGAATCTCACCTTAGAAAGAATACTAAGCAAGACAAGCCCTGGCAACATAACTTCTGTCTTGGCTTTTAGGACTTCAGTATTTTAAAAAGTGGGCAAGCAGAAGCCAGCAGGGTTTAAGCCACCATTTATAGTGCTAGCATTCCATGTGGGCCCCAGTTCAAGTCCTAGCTGCTCTACTTCCAATCTCTCTCTCTCTCTCTCTCTCATTCTTTCTATCCCTAACTCTGCCTTGAAAACAAATAAATAAAGCTTTTTTTTTTTAAAGTGGGCAGCCCAGAATCACCACCCATTTGTGGATGGTATCTGAAATGGGAGAGATTAAAATAGGAAAAATGAAGCTTTGAGTGAAATAGAGGCAAAACAGGGAACTGAAGAAAATATCAAGAAAATGAAAATTAACTGTATTAATTCACTAGAGAAGGAAAGATATCACATCTATGAAAAAAGATTAGAATGTTGTGATAAAGGAGCAACCAACCATAAAGGATAAAATGTTATTACAAATAAAAAAATGTGGTAGCTGAAATAAAATTCCAAGACAAAGATTGGAAGGTAAGGTTGAAGAACTTTCTTCAAAATAGACTCAAACAAAACATCTGAACTCCCCCACCCCCAAACCAAAAGCCAAAACTAAGAGATAGAAAATAAGGAGTAAAATAGAAGAATTGGAAGATTATTCCAGGAAGTCTAATGTTTGATTAATAAAAGCCTCAAAAGAAGGGAACAAAAAAATGTGGAGGAGAAATACTAATGAGCCTATTCCAGAACAATTTCTGTAATGTTGAACATGCGTCTTCGATTTAAAGTGCGTATTGAGTATTTAGCATAATGAATGGAGACCCCGTGTCAAGCCATTTTATTATGATGTACTAGAATGCAGGGAAAAGAGTTTTCAGACTGTAAAAAACAAAATGGGAAATAGAATGGCACTGGATTTCTTAATAGCAACACTAGTTGCAAAAAAGATTAATAGAATTCTATACCCAGACAAACTGTCATGTATGAAAGCAGAATAAAAGAACTCTCTGATGTGAAAGGACTAAAAAATGTACTTCACATTGTGTATGCACGTATGTGCATACATACACGTGCATAACACATACTTACAAATATGTATTACACACATGTATGTGTATAAGTTTTTCTGGCAAAGTGGAAACAGAAGCCAAGAAAAGAGATGACTGGGTGCAGGGAACAATGGCTGAAACAGAAGAAAAAGTGGAGAAAAAAGGTCCCAGGGTGCCAGAGGACACCCAGTGCTAGAGATCAGTGGTCATTACCATTATATCATCCTATCCTTTTCCTTACTCTATCATATATAACTCATATGCTGACTTTTGTGTTTAGCATCTCCTTGCTTTTCTTTATAATTTTACCACATATTTATATTTCAAAACAACATATCCTGCAGGAGAACAGAAGGCTCTGGGTTAAGGGTTAGGAGAAAGCACAAGTGGAATGATAGTATATATAATTTGGAGCTTCTGGTAAATAATATTGACATGTATTTATTAGATCTGACAAAATGGAAAAGATTGTCTTAGACATTCCAGAACTAAGCAAATGAAAAACAAGGAAATTACTAACTCATGTTTCCTGTCTGTCTTCTACTTGATTATGCGCTCTTGGAGGTAAGTGCGTTCTCCACCCCTGTCTATCTGGTGCCTTGTCTGAGGGTGGGGACCTAGTATGTATATGAAGAGACAGCAGGAAATCTTGATAAAGACGCTGTCAAGCACACGGATGAGCCAGCATGCTCCTTTCACATGTGAATCTATGTGAGAAGTTACTCCTAATTGTGTTCAGTGGTGGTAAAGCTATATTTTATTAGGCAACAAATGCCTAGTATCTCACCATACTTTCCTTTTTCTTTTTTATGTTGTCTACTGGAACTCATTGTTGAATACTCAATCCCGAATTGGGCCCCTTGTCTCCTTGTTATGTTTGCTGGTTTTCCGCAGGTCTTGACTTTCTGGGTCCATCGCTGTGAGCACTTCTCCATGAGTGTGCTGGGTTTGGAGTTCCTTCAGGGAGGATTCAGATGACTGGGAGCACGGCAAACCTAGGCTCCCTTTAAAATAAACGTCTTCGTTTTCCAGAATGCCAGATGCTACCATTGTGGCTTACAAGTTTGTCTGAAAGGGCCTTCTTTATAGTCACAAGTTCTCAGCCAAGACGTTTTCTCAGCTCTGAGGGTCGACGTTTCTTGTGTATCCTGAAAGATGCGAGATTCCCTTTAGGCTTACCCTTCTTGATTGTGCAGCTTTCTGGGTTCTTTCCTGTTGGGGTTTGTGTCTCTTCTGTCACATTCCATCTTAGCTTTGCCTGCTGTTCCCTGTTCCCCTCCAGGTCTTGCAGAGCAAGTTCAAGTCCTTCTGACTTGGCAGATGACTTCAGGTGAGAGCTGGCTTTATGGCCCTGCTAATCATCCAGTCAGCCTTTTATCTGAATTTTGGTTTCTGGACATTCCTTACTTATCAGCTCATTAATTCAAGTAAAGACAGCTTTTGATTTCATTAACTACTAGTAGTTGTTTATTTCCAATGGTTTGGCTAGGGAATCTAGCTTACTATATTACTGGAAATAGAAGGCAGTAACTCGTTTCCAAGTTATGAGGGTACTTTAAATAAAGCTCATGGAGGGGCAAGCATGTGGTGGAGTGGATAAGTTGCCTCTTGGGACACTCACATCCTAGATGAAGGTGTCTCATTCGAGTCCCAGCTACTGCACTTCTGATCCAGCCTCATGCTAATGTGCACCCCGGGAGGCAGCTGATGGTGGCTCAGTTAGTTGGGTCCCTGAAACCTATGTGGGAGACCTGGATTGAGTTCTAGATTCCTGGCTTTAGTCTGGCCCAACTTGGGCTGTTGTGGGCGTTTGGGGAGTGAACAAGTGGATAGAAGGTCTCTATCCCTCTGTCTCTGTCCCTCTCCTCTCTCTCTGTCTCTTAGCCTATAAAATAAAATTTAAAAAATTGTAGAAAGAGAATTAAAAGATTTATTTTGGTACAAAATTTTTGAAATCCTTACTTAGTTCTTTCATAACATACATTTCCATGAGCTTTTTGAAGATGTCTCATATATATGGATTTCAAAAATTTTGTATTAAAATAAACTTATCTTGGGGCTGGCACTGTGGTGCAGTAGGTTATTCCTGCACCTGCAGTGCCGGCATCCCATACAGGTGCCGGTTCTAGTCCTGGCCTCTCTTCTTTCGATCCAGCTCTCTGCTGTAGCCTGGGAAAGCAGTAAAAGATG